GATATATATCTATTTCAGTCTAGAGTGAGGCAAACATGTATTAGTGGCAGATAGGGAGCTGGAAAAAGAATTATGAGTTCTATTCCCATGTTTTTCCACTGACTTCTGCACATCAATCCATGTACCTCAGTAAATCCCATTGCAAAACAGTTAAAACAATAATTATTACTACACTTGGCTACCTCACCAAGACAAAGAGTAACAAAGATTCGTAATATCCCTTTATTTTTTTCATAAAAGACCTAATAGAGATGTTGGACCAGATTTGCAAAGGCATCAAGCATTAAAGTTTGAACCTGAGGAAACAAGTAAAAGAAGTGAACATTCAACAGCTCTGAAAATCAAATGCCAAAATTATTATAATCAACTGTTCAAAGGATTAATACAAACACTGCTGAGGAGGAATAATAAATAGGAATTATGAAATATATTTTGACAGTGTTCTTTTTAATTGTTGTGAAGGAGGCTTCTCTGCCTTCCTCCCTTGAAGCCTGCTAACAGCCAAACAAACAAAAAGCTTCAGTTTATCTGAAAGAATATTCTATTTAAAAAAAAAATCCTTATTTGGCATATTAAGTAGGTAAGTCAAAAAAAAATAGACTCTGTTGCAGTAAAGTAAGAGCAATTAAATTAAATGTGCCTCAAGAATAGAACCCTCTCCTTGATCAACAGGGTAATAAAAGCTTGTCGATCCCCATCCTGGTACATTTCTAAACACTTTCTGAAGTACAGAACAGAGAACGCACCAACACTTTGGCTTTGTCACAGTTGACAGCCTGTCGGTTTTAATGAAAATGCTCTCCGTTTAGAAGATGACAGAAATTACATGCATTTCCCCTTTTATTTTTCTGTCATCTTTTCTGTCTAGCATTTTTACAGTATAAGGAGGAGTTGGTTATTAAAGCATTACATAAGTATGTAAAATATATTAAGAAGAAGAGAGGAAAAGAAAAAGCTTTAGCCCTGCAATTATGCACAATATGTGTTGGTGAGAAATGTATGCTGTGGGATAACATCTGATGTGTGACAATAACTATTTATTTTTAGTTATCTTTAAAGAGGGTGAGGCAAAAGTCTCTAGATAATGCGTTAAGTGAAGGTTTTATTATACAATTGTCTGAATAATTTCCAGCAGGAAGATGATCTAAATAATGTTAGATAGCTCAAGTATGTTCATCGCTTCTGTAGAAAACAGAACAACAAGATAACACTGAGCAATTTCTTGACTCTGCATAGTTTTCATAAAGCTCTTTTAATAAATGGAAAGCTTTTAATAAATGTACTGGCTGTGTTTGATCCAGATGTACAAGTGTATTAGAGAAAATTTGCTGCCAGAGTTGGAGAAGGCTTCGCCTCCAAATGCAAGGCAGTACTATGTGCTCTCAAAACAACCTACATATCTACACATATCCTTCCACATGGAAGTAGGCACTCCGTATACTTCCCTAGTCTTAATTCCAGTCTAAATATTCTGGGATTAAAGAAGTGCACAAAATAAGGGTATCGAGGAAGTGAGCTTCTTCAAAGTGCTTCATAGCGCTCTTTGAACAGAAGCTATAGATTTGATCTCTAAATTTCTGTGGCAGTTACTTCATGCTTGTCATAATAATAGAGAGAAATTTAATTATTAATGCTGGCCTGTATGGGTCATAGTTCAAAATTACAGTTACTTCTCAGAGGACCTACAGAAAATAGTGAAATATTTTAAAAAGTAGGGAAAATAGAATTTGTTTTTAAAACTTTGGATGCGTTTATATGATCTGAAAATTGCAATAATCACCAACAGCGTGACTCTTTGTAGAAATGGAGTTACGTATGTTTCACAAAGTTACAAGTTCCTAAAAAAGAACCCTTGTACAGTGAGTACCATTTCTGCCTCTCAGCTGTTTAGGTGTCCAGTCACTTCACACAAATGCACAGCATGTGCTGATTTACTGGTGGGACCACAACAGTCATAGTCACCCTATTAACACTTTCTGATGCTCACATGTGCTCCTGGGCTCACGATGTGATAGCAGCTGAGGAGCCTTTGCACTGACGTCTGCCGCAGCATGGTTTGGTGATAGAATTGCATCCTTTGCTGGGTACATACATTTCTTAAAATGTCTAGTGCAATCCTTGGTCTGGCTCCAGAGTATATATCTCTATGCAGCTCACGGATCCATCTCAGGAACCTTGAGACCCTGATAGCCACTTGCCAATGCTGTGGACCAGTAGCACATGGCTAATTGGCTATCCTTGCTGTAATGCAGAGTGGGTCAGTGCTCACCCTGCTGGAAACAGGAGCAGGAAGAAGTTGCCTTTGCCTCCATGTCCATTATTAACCCTTAAGTTCTTAAATGGGATTCACATCTCCCAAAGCTGTCATTTCATGCTGCCTGCAGATTAAGGCAGACAACTGGGCTTTAATTGCCTGTAGTTCGTGTAACATATTTCTTCGCAAAGGAAGATTTGTTTTATGGATATTTCAGTATGGAATTTGCATCTGACACAGGAGACCATCATCCCAGGTGTTTTCACATCAAAAATCTAAATATCCTTTCTAACCTAAAATTAGAGATGAAAGTACATAAACCTTGTTAACAGATACACAGACATTGAGTGCCTAAGTGATGAGGAAGAGATAGGTGGAATGGGTCAAGTGACTGTGTCTGAGCATTTGAGGACTGTAAAAGTAAAAAGGGCTAAATATTTAGTATAGGATATGGCACTGTAGCTAGGAGTTATAGTGTGAAAAACAGCTTTTAAAGTATATTCACAGACCAACAGGAAATACCACTTCTTTCTGAATCAATATGAAACTGCCTCCCTAAGAAATGGTAGGCTTCCCCTCACCTGTGAGTCGAGGACAGTCCTGTGACACAGGGCGCACCAAATGTTTGCCTAAATACTTGCTGACTCTGCTTTGTGGTTGCTAGTAGCTGTTAGCTGCCAGATATATGTAGGAGACATCATTCGCGGGTTTGCTTAAGCCAAGCTACTGAGCGGACTAGCAAATTAATAATTGCTGGGTAAAACATTTTTATTGAATTAGCTTATTCTTATTAAACCATTTATATCGTGTCCTCCAAACATTGCAACTACACATTTTCAAATATAAATGCAAGATAGCATCTTATGAAACAAATACGTCCTCTGTGTAAATGAGATCCGCAGTACACCCCATCACTTAGCCTACATCGTCCTCCAAACATTGCAACTAAACATTTTCAAATATAAGATGCAAGATAGCATCTTATGAAACGTCCTCTGTGTAAATGAGATCTGCAGTACACCCCATCACTTAGCCTACATGCACTTTATATGTTAGGCTGGAATATAATGTTGCTGCAATAGTATCTCACTGCTTCAGGGAATATTCTTGTGTTCTAGTCCCCTTTCCTTTTCTCTAGCCACACTGTCCTGCACGGTAGCAGGCAGTTGCTTAACATCTTCCATGCCTCTGTGCTCGGGATTTGTTTTGTTATTATACTACTTAGTGATGCCACATCACTGGAAAAAGAAAGGCACTTTAGAAGGATATGCATAGTGTTTGTTGTATTTTTCCAATGTTGTGATCCAATTCTGCTTCCATACTTATGTCTTGATTTTGAGGAGAAAGAGTCAGCCAAAAGAAGTCATATCTGTAATTATTTTGTGATTCTGTACTCGTACAACGAAGATGGAGGTGGGCTGAGGTTGCTTTATTCAGCATTCTTTGTGTCAGTCCTGTCCTGTGATGTAAGGCATTTTAAAAAACTTTTTCCATTATTTTAGACTAAGATTTAAAGAAGATTGCCCTCTATAGTGAAACCATTTCCTTTCTCTCTTTTCTCTACTGGATTGCACATTGATGCATTTGTGAGCAAGCACCTTGACTACTGTTAATTAGAAAGACATTGTTAATTAGAAAGACATCTTTCAGAGATATATCTCTGAAGAAGATGAAATATTTCTTATTTCTTATCCCCGGATATTAGCTCTTTGTGGCTTTCATTTTTGTATATCCTTTCCCTTAATTTGGTAGTCAGGTGTGATTTTATAATACACACAAAAAGACATGCATGTTCTTCCTGAAGTGAGCTTTTCCTTGTTAAAAAAAAAAAAAAAAAAAACAGAAAACCTTAAAATTAAAACTTTGTTTAAGCCCTTCATTTAGACCCAGAGTCAGCGCACCTGCTTACATTGTACTTCTCCAGCTGCAGACTGCAAATGTCCACAGCAGACTAAATATTTTGGTACTGAGTTCCAAAGAGCCCAACCATTCTGGTGAGGATTGTGGTACATTAGCACATAGGAAACATGGCCAGAGAGAGGTGAGCCTGCTTCTGATGCTCATGGTCTCTACACATAGCTCAATTATGTCCAGCAGCACTGAGGTCAGGTTTTCTGTCCTTGTTTACTCTTGTGCAGTCACACCTGAAATAGTCTACAGAGCAAGTCTGTGGGTTTTATCTCTAGTATTCTTTGGCAAATAGAACCCATATCCTTGGACAAAAATTTCTTACTTTTGTGAGTTGCTTTCATCTTCACTGATGTCTTTAGTCCTTCTTTTTTTCATCCTTTTTGCTGTGTTTTCTTATTGCACCTGGGCAATGAATGTCATTTTGACTAATGCTGTTTTATTATGCATGTCATCCTAGACAGGGTTTCTAATACATAGAACTCTGCAGGTGAATTAGTGTCATATCACACTCTAATGTTGAATTAAACTGGATTAAATTCTGCATTGGAAATTTATCATGTGTTTTATTTCAGTACCTCTTGCATATCTGTGATTGTAATGTCAACCATGGAATCCTCCTTTCCTTCACTAAACACATTTTCTGAATAGATCCCTATCTTCTGAATCTGATTCTGAATCTATTTTCTGAATAGATCCCTATCTTATTTACAGGAAGTGCACATAAATAAACATCTTTCTATGCATAACTGGCAGCTTCTAAACTGGCAATAAAACCTTCAGGATACAATAAAAACCTGCAGATATTTAAAACAACGCAATTTCTTGTGTCTTTTAGGACCTAGATTTCTCATCACATCCACGGGAGCCTTGTATATTTTAGATGTACAGAATGAGGATGGACTGTACAACTACCGATGTATCACAAGGCACAGATACACTGGAGAAACGCGACAAAGCAACAGCGCAAGACTTTTTGTATCAGGTGCTTCCTTATATTTCATGTTGAACTAAAAGTACTGTGTATGCCTGTCTTTGGTGCGCAGAACTGATGGGGCAGGTTCTTGTGTCCATAGGCACTAATGATCGACTCCTCTGTCAAATGAATGGCAGAAGTGGTCGGCTGTGAGCTTAACTGCTGCTACTGCAAACTAAAATGTCCCCATTTTAAATTGCTTTTTATTTTTTCACCCATTTTTCTCCTCCTATTAGATATTTCCATAGAACCTGCAGGGTGCTTGGCTTGGCTTTGGCATTTATTCCAGTGATTTTATTAGGTACAGAGTGCTTTATAAAAGGACTTTGGCTAGAATTCATCTTATTAGAAGTAGACATTCACAGAGAAAATGTCCAGTCACCTTAGCTTCTGTATAATCAGTGGAGAGGAACAGACAGTTTTAGGGGTAGTTTTTGTGACCTATTTCAGCCGCCTACTTTGGGGTGAGATGAATTGTGCCATGGTGTTTATTGCTCTCTGTTAACTGTAGCAGAAGCCCAGGGCATTTAGCTCGGCTTTAGGTCCTTCTACTGCAAAAGCCTCAAGTTAGCTGAGATGCATTTTAGTTTTCCTGTTTACTCACCACACTCCTTCCCCAGGATAAAGAGTGTTTTCTCCTACTTACTTACAAGAGAGCACTCCAGACAGAAAAGGGTATGTGACCTGGCTCAAGCTGCTAGGGGTACAGATAGGCAACAGAGTTATTAGACTGCTGCCCATGGGCAGATCTACTAGTCCCGAGCCAAATGGCCTTGTACAGCACATGTGAAAACTGTAAGGCAGAAACTATGTGGGGTATATTTTCCCTTTCCTTTCTATATGCAAATCATCTCATAATTATAATACAGTACTGAATTTCTCCAATTCTCTCTTCCCACCATCTTGTGGGGGAGGTGAGAAGCAGGAAGAGACCCTAGGCCTGGGTTTTCAGCTTGCTCTTGAACACGCTTGTATAAGATTAGCTCTTCCCCATCTCTCCTCCCCTCTCACATTTTCTGGACACTTGTAGCTGCACCCTAAGTTTCAGTGTGTTTACATTGATGATTTGTTCCCAAATCAGGAGATTTAGCAAGCAGCATATCCGAGGCTTTCTGCTTTCTTGTACTGTGTCCTTGTGTTATAGAAGGCGTGTCCAGCTACCCACTGAAAAGCCTACATAATTTTTTTTCCCTTTTACTAAGTAGCCACATAACCTTAGTCCTAAAATTTCATCAGGGTATGGTGACCATTACAAGCTAACAGTTATAGATATCATTCTCCTCTTGTCTTGACCTTATCCTATTTTTTTTCAGTCTTTTTATCTGAAAAATCTAGTGATTAGATCTCAATTCCCAATCCTCACTTTGAGAGCCATACGGGAGAGAGAAGTGGGCAGAAAGGTTTGCATTAGCAACATACTTCTTGCCCAGTATGAGTATTGCTGAAGAATTCTGAAGCCTTCTGAACACACAAATCAGTTCTTAAATATACTAATGCTAAAAATAGTGTGATTGTTCAGGTTAGAATTACTTACCAGTCAGATCCAGAAGCTCCTTCCTTTGATATGCGAGCCCTGTGGGTAAAACTCTTGTCTTTACTTTTTTCCAGCCAGATGAAGAAATATTATTCCTGCACAATAATCTGCCTACTTTGGTCTTACAAGGAAAGGCAGGCTCTTCTCCTTCTAGCTGGCTCAATTTTATGGTCTCTTTCCGTATGAAATCATGCTAGGGCTGAGCCAGTGATAATATAAATAAAATTGGGCTTATATCTTGGTTACCACAGGAAATTTTCTAGTTATTTCACTGAAAAGCAGGGAAAAGTAAAAGTGTGGTCCCTTCTGTAATTCATGTGCCCTGTCTGGACTACCTAAAAAGATGTTCCATGTCTGGACTTCCTTTTTTATTTTCCTCCACAGAATCACAGACCAAAGTATTGTAGTTATGGACAGAGTTGGTCTCTAAATATTTCTCTTACATGTTTTCTTTTCCTTTAGTGGATCTTTCTATATTTAAAAGTAGTGAGTCTTTTAAGAACTGAGATGAGAGTCCATGAATATAGTCTATATCAGAGTCCATGTATAGTCTACATACACTTCATATGCATTTTTTGCTTGCCTTTTATTCTCTGCTTAGCTGGGGATGAAGTGTTTGATGGTGAATATTCATTACTGTTTATCAATTCATGCAAAATCTTGAATAGCTACTGGCTGATATGTTTCTAATGAGAGAGATAAGAAGTTGCTTTAAGAAGAATGTATTGGTGCCTTCATTTCCTTAACTTTGCAGGCATCTACAGAGAGAAAAAAAAAGAAAAAAAAAAGAAAAAGAAAGTGGACATCTTCCAATTTGGCATGTAGAGATTTATTTAGCTGTTGACACAAAAGTTACTGGACATGTATCGCTTGAATTTAGCATGGACTGCTCATTTTAATATGCTTTTCTGTTAATGGCAGAGACATGCCTTGTAAGCATACATAGCTAACTAGTTTAAAATTCATTTGGTAATGTCAAAGTAGTTGCAATCACACCTACATCTAATCAACTGCTGTGTCGATATACCCTCAAAGGGACCAATGTGTTAGACATGAGTAAAAGGAGTTGATCAGTGTGGGAACTTTCTCTGCGAGACAGGAATCTTAGCAAAGTGAGTTAAAGAATATAAGCAACTATTGAAATAAGCCTTCTTTTTGCTATTTTATTTATTTATTTATCAACTATTTGTTGATTTATTATTTAGTATTTATGATGCAGTAGCTCCAAGATGTCTTAACTAGGTGGGTTTCCATTGTACTGCATGCTGCACAAAACTAGATCGCATCAGTCTCTTTCCCCAAGCATTTTCAAGCTAAAAGACCCAGCCTCACAAGTATTTTATTATCTTTTGTGAGGTACATGCACCTCTCAGGAGGTGATCTGCCAGATTTCTCTGAGATGCACAAATGCATCCAGGCAGCTGCATAAGTGTGTTTAGTTGAAAACTGCTTTCTCAGCAAGTTGAGCACAGAAAGTCGGAGTATTAAGCTGTAAATTGCTCTTGCCACCTCAAAAGACCTGTCTGTTGGGTAGTCTACAGAGGGCGATTCCCATGTCTTGCCATCCATTTCTTTTCTGGGAATAAATCACTCCTTTAATTCAAAACCTTCTAACTGCTGAGAAACATGAAGAATGTGTTTGCTTCATTCTAGTTGAGCAATGCAGGGACAGAAGTAATAATTGTAAAGGCAACATGTTTCTGGCTCCCCATCCCTCTGATGGGAGACATGAAGAATGATCAGAGAAATGATTGCCACCTGGAAAAAATCCAGTGGGAAGGTTTCCAAGTAGTCATGAGATATTTCGTTAGTTCATGCTGCTGGATCTCAGCCACCACTACTGAGGTATTACAGACTAATGGCTGGGGCACAGTAGCAAGCTGTAGTACATAAAGCACTGGGGAGCAAGTCAAACAATAGAGGAGAATAAATATTGGCATATTGCTCGGTGAATGAAATAATTTTAATGCTCCTATTGAAACCCCTTATTTGCTCTTTCAGATCCAGCGAATTCAGCTCCATCTATTCTAGATGGGTTTGACCATCGTAAAGCCATGGCAGGACAGCGAGTGGAGCTGCCTTGCAAAGCATCAGGGCACCCGGCACCAAAGTATCGTTGGCTGAAGGACAATGTTCCCTGGGAGCCTGACAGCAGGTTTCGGCAGACGGTTACAGGTCTGCTGATAGAGAACACGCGTCCCTCGGACACTGGCAACTACGTCTGTGAGGTGTGGAACAACTACGGCACTGCTGAGATGATAGGGCGACTATATGTAAAACGTAAGTGCTTGTACTAAGTTAATTTCTTGGTCCGCTTCTTGCACAGCAGGTTGCACCTGGGGAAAAAAGTTGCTTGCTATAACTTCTGTTTCGTTACTTGAACATTAGCAATGCTTAAACTTTTCAAAGTTGATCAACATCAGAAAGTAGACTCTGCAGAGATGTGCTAGCTGGACAACTGAGTGATCAGAAGTGCAAATAGATGCAATTTATAATGTGGCTATATTATTTATCACATAGAGAATATGTAATTTAGAAGCTTGAACTGATTGCTTAAAAAGAAATTGCAAATGTTCTCATGAATAAAGCTGCCAAACTCTTGTTGCTATGACCCATGCTGTTCGGTAATATTGAATACTCATACCTCTGCTAAGTTGAGTATTCATGTGTGAATATTCTGAATGTTTCACAAATGCTCGCACAGGTAATTATTACTGAGAAGCTCTGCACTGGAAGAGTGTTATTCTTCTTTTGTTAAAAAACAAAAAAAATATTGGAATAGAAATAATAATATACTGCTTTAACACAGTGCAAAAGGGAGATGGCCCTGAACAGTTCAGGCCATAAAAAATTACTTTGCCAATAATTACACCCAACAGATCTGGGTGAAATAAAACAGAGATCTTAGGTCAATAATTTTTGAAGTATAGTGGAGAGTAGCTTTGCTTTCTTAGTATATTCATGAAAATTAGTTGAATTCAACCCACCGTATATGATATAAAGTCAACACTTGAAGAGAGAAGGTGTAATGATAATTATAGTGATATCAAAAGCATTCTGAAGATGCCTAGTGGATTGTTTTACTTAGGGACACAGTGATCAACTGGCCAGCACATTTCTCCTGAATCAGATTGGCTGGAAGCAACAGTTGGAAAGACTTTCAATGTCCTTTGTAGTGGAAGTCGTGGTCCACTTTCTTGAATCATCTTGGCTCTAAGATACTATTGGTACCCTTGGGTTTGCTTTTTTTGTTTAATTGCTCATTGCAAGTTTTGAACCTTTGTGGTCTTCTCTATAGGAAACTTGGAAGTATTTAGTGACTCATAGTATGCATTTGAGCATACTTTAAATATTACTCTGGAACATTTTAAGGAAGTATATTACATAATGTGATCTGGAATGACTGGAGCCACTGACCGATGTTCCTCCCCAGGCCTCTGTCCCCAGTGGGAATGTTTTTGGCAACATGTAGTGGAAAAGCAGTAAAATTTCTTCCAGTGATTGTATTCTAAACAGTACAGAGAATGAGTTAGTTCAGGAAGTTTTTTTTATGTATATGGATGTACATATATGTTTGTATGTAAGGTATTGTAAGAAGTTAGTAGTATAAAATGCAATGTATTTAGTACCGGGAATGATATTAGTGTTGGTTATATATATATATAAAAAATGTATTATGCCTTTCATTCTTATTGGTAAAGGCAGTATTGAACTCACATCATCCATTCTGAATGTGCCCTACAAAGTAATCCATTATGTTTGTAATGAAGCCAAACCAAAATATACAAAACATGTATGAAAGTTTGCATTCAGTAATGCCAGTAACTATGAGGGGTCAGGATAAAGATTGTTTTCTTACATTTAACTTTATTACTATTTTTCCACAATGCACATTCTTTCTATTTATTTATTTTATTTTTTAAATTAAAAATTTTTGTTTTTTTATTAGGAAGCTATATCCTGTTTTTTACGGCTGACTGAAAGTACTGTTGACTGATATGTTGGGGCAAAAAAATTAGTGAGCCCACACAGGGAAACTGTTAAAGAAAGACAGATCCCACTGATGTCTATGGGTTCATCTATTTTAACATTTTAGGGTGGATCCTACATTCTGTAGATGAACATCTCCTGACCATAGGCATTCACTGCACATGTTCACATCAGGGAGTGGTTTTGGAACATGTGAACTAATCTCCTTTTGGATGAAACTGAACCAAAAGATGAGCTTCAGGAATGCATCTAATGCACCTCCAAGGTCCAGACTAATCGAAAGCAGTGTCCTACCTTCCAAAAACATGTGTAGTGCTGATGGCACATCAAGCATTTTATTTTGTAGGCCTTCTGCTGCTATTCATTTAGGCATAATTTAGGATTATATCATGTGATAAAAGAGTTATTCCTATAGGTGTAAGCATTGTATTCTGAATGCTGATGGGAAAAATGCTTGATAAATCAATGAGTCATCTTTTTGTGTATGTTTGTTTGTTTGTTTTGTTTTGTGTGTGTGTGATTTGTTATTTTCCATAGCTGAGAATTATTTTTTCACTCACATATAACTGTACATCCATACTTAACATTCTCCACTTTCCCTTCTTTCCCTCTCCTTCTTTTTCCTCTTAAATCTTCAGAACCACTAAAAGCCACAATCAGTCCACGGAAGGTAAAAAGCAGTGTTGGTAGTCAAGTGTCCTTGTCCTGCAGTGTGACGGGAACTGAGGACCAGGAGCTCTCCTGGTACCGTAATGGTGAAATCATCAACCCTGGTAACAACGTTCGCATCACTGGAATCAACCGGGAGACCCTCATTATGGATGGCATGGCCAAGAGCGATGGTGGTGCTTACCAGTGCTTTGTGCGCAAAGACAAGATGTCTGCTCAAGACTATGTTCAGGTGGTACTAGAAGGTCAGTCAGTTGGTAATTCTGGTTGTTATAAAGTATTAGGATAGTTCCAGAATATATGTGTCGTCTTTGATGTCACTGTTGTAAATGAGGTATAGAAGGCCCTAAATAAAAAAAAAAAGCAGATACCCATGAGGTTTCAGTGGGGTTCATTGTATCTCCTGTGCTGAAGAAAAGCTAAGGGGAAAGGGAAGAAAATTATTTGAAAAAATATATCCCTCCTGAGTCCTTTGAGTTTTTCTTTTTTTTTGAGGAGGGGGTGGTGGGAGAATTGAGTGCTGATTTTTTTACACAGCTTTCTGAGCAGGACGAGAGAGAAGAGGTCTCTATTCAACTCCAAATATCTCCTTCATGGCATGGCTTTTCTGGTTGGATATATTGGCTGAAGGCACGGAGACCATGTTAAGTAACTGGCACACTGTTCCACATTATAATCAAGTGAAGAAAATTATCAGTTTGTACAGAGCCAGATCGCTAATGAGGCTGTAGTGTGGTTGTGGCATGGACACTATTTTTAGAGTCTTTCTAGAAAAAGAGGAGATTACCTGCTTGGACCTAGTTACCTCGGCAACCATCTCCTCTGACTAAGAAAGCCTAAAGAGCATATTGATAATCTATCATGATGTCGAGAGAGTGCAGGTTATCAGAGAGCAACAGCAGGAAAGATTTCAAAAACACCCAGGTCTCGCTGGGAAAATAATGTTTGCTTTCATCTCTCCAAAAACCTTGTCACTTGAATTAAGAAAAAAAGGAGAAGTGGGGTGGCAGAGATAGATACTTACTGTGCACACCCACAGATATATTGGTCCTGTGGCAGTTTCTTTTCAGGACAAAAAAAAAGCCCCTTTTTTGTTTTTGTTTTGTTTTCTGACAGATGGCAACATTTAATACACCGGAAATAAAGGGAATTCAAAGGTGAAAATGCATAAATAAATATTTTAGAACTTTGTCACCGAGCAAGTAGGACAGAAACGTTGGGTGATTGGGAAAGAAGAAAAAATATGAATTCAAATCAAATGCCTCTCTTGGGATGCTTACAGCATTCGGCATTCTGGGATAGACATTGCCCTATGTTTTTGTTTGTGTAACAGGAGAGGGAACATTACAGCCCAATGTTTTAACCCTGCTGTGATTCAGCCCATCAGTGGGGAGGGGGCTTGCATACAATCGTGCCATTTTCTTTGCTTTCCTGGGTGATGCTGCCCTGAAATTGCAATGTAAGAATTGTGATCATCGTGGCTGAAGCATCCCTAAGATGTGGGTACTTATAGACGACTGCCCATATAGAGAGAGTATGTAGTGTCCTTGAACAGGTAATTCATAGCACAGAGCATGGGACTTGTCCTGTCCTAACTTCCTCTGTCCTACATGAAATTGAAAGAACTTGTCCTTAAAGGGCTCCATCCACAAGGTGAGAAGAGTTTTCAGATCTCTGTAGCCCTTCTCCACGTCATATAAAGCATTTTTCTTCTGTTTCTTATGGGCACTTCTGTTTCTTGTTGTAGGAGGACTGAAGTTAGCTCACTTGCCACTTTGTTCTTTAAAACCAGACAGTAGCCTACAGCATTGTTTTCCAAAATTCTGGCTAGATTGCTTTCTCTGTTTTGCATGCTGCTCTTGATGTATGGCCTGTTGCACTTTTACTCCCAATTAGACTGAAATTCATTCTAGATACAGCTTTGAAAGTATAATTTTCAAAGAAGAATAAGCGGGCACTGTGTGATCTCAGAAATAATTTTCTTGCTAATAGCTGAGTGTCAGCATTCCTAAACATTACCCCACTGAACTCTCTGGATAGGTAATTATTTAGTTCTGCTCACTGCTGAAAATCTCCAAGTTTGTGTCTCCATGCATTCTCTTTATATGCTCGCTTGGTGGAGGCTCAGCAAATTGTGACATGGATCACAATAGAAAATGTTTGAATGCTCTCATCCCAGAGGGATATTTATCTGCAGTACAAAATGACCACAGAAAGAAATTGACATTACCGTCATTACTGGCAGTTCTGTATTTAGGAAAAAAGCTTAATTTAATACTTTTCTAAAAGGGGTAATACGGGTCAGGATGAGACTGAATTGACACAGCTGTGTGAAATTAGCCTAGGGAAGTTATGCCTGGCTTTTGCCAACAGAATTCATCCCTAGCTTTCCAACAAGCTGAAATGTACCAGAAATAAAATTCTGAATGTGGTAAGGTTTCGCTGTCTTCAGTGATGAATTGTGTATGTTCTATGTCCTCCAAGAACCTGGGAGTTAACATTGCAGAGCCACGGTCCATCCATTCAAGGGTTCTTTTTTTTCAGCCTGGGTCAGCAACAGGTTTCTTAGAAGATGAAAAAGAAACCTGCAGAAGGGAAAGCATCACTTAATCAGTCTAGTAGGAAAATTTATTTTGCTCCCTTATCTTGAGCACAGTTGTTTGCATTTCCTGGCTCCTGTGATAGGCAAAGACAGAAGGAAGAGCTGTACAGCACATATATACTGTTCTCTTACTTTTCTTTCCTTGGCAGATGGAACTCCCAAAATTATCTCTGCTTTCAGTGAGAAAGTAGTGAGCCCAGGAGAGCCAGTCTCCCTTATGTGCAATGTGAAGGGAACTCCTCTGCCTACGATCACTTGGACACTGGATGAAGATCCCATAGTAAAGGATGGCAGTCATCGTATCAGTCAGATTATCACCTCTGAAGGGAACGTGGTCAGTTACCTGAATATCTCTAACACTCAGGTCCGAGACGGTGGAGTTTATCGCTGTACTGCCAACAACTCTGCCGGAGTCGTCCTGTACCAGGCTCGAATAAACGTAAGAGGTGCTTGTCAAATCAGCTCCTCAAAAAAACACACATAACTCATTGTAGTGGAGAAGAAGATTGTTGCATGTGTTGAACTGAGTCTTGGAATGCCAAAACCAACTTACTGTTTTTCCTCTCCTTTTCTTCTCCTCTCTGTTTTCTCACCCTGCCTCTTCAGCCCCATCTAGAAAATGTGTGGTGTGGTTAAATGTTGAAGATATCCTTTGGCTTGTGTTCTACAGTCTTTTTTCCTATACTCACTCTCTTACTTCGTTGTTTCTTTACCTTAGTCCTGCTGTGCATGTTTGTCTTTTTTAAATTTTCTTTTCCTTTCCTTCTTTACTTGTTCAACATTTCATTGTAATTATTCATGTATATGCTACTTTAGCTTGCATTTCTAGCTATACATGGCATAATACCCATCCTCATGGTATTATATTTTATATATGTCAAAATAAATGCTAACTTCGTCAATGTTCTCATGTGTAACAGGATTCTAGCTTAGTATCAGTTTTAGTATTTCACATTAATTAAATCATCCTCAACCTTTAATTTGTAATACAGTAAAGATTTTATCAGGCAAGTATTCAATAATACAAATATATACCCCCACCTAATTAGTATGTATGCTGCAGGGTGAGGAAAAACTAGAGCATATAAAGATTAGGGAGACTGCATAAGTGGTTCTTAAAAGCAAAAACTGTCAGGCACTAAGGAGAAGTGTCATGCAGGCTGCATCTCTAAATGTTGCTAACATTCGTATATTCTGAGAATATATATGCATATTTCCTCAAGTAAATGTGCTTTTAAATTGTTTTCAAGAGTGTCTGTTTACCTTTATAGGGCCAGCAAGCATTCGACCAATGAAAAATATTACAGCAATAGCCGGCCGAGACACCTACATCCATTGCCGTGTAATTGGCTACCCGTATTACTCCATCAAGTGGTACAAGAACTCAAACTTGTTACCTTTTAACCATCGCCAAGTGGCATTTGAGAATAATGGGACGCTGAAGCTTTCAGACGTGCAGAAGGAAGTGGACGAGGGCGAGTACACGTGCAACGTCCTAGTTCAACCCCAACTGTCTACCAGCCAGAGTGTTCACGTGACAGTAAAAGGTAAAGTTCACTTGGGAAACCAACGCCAAGCTAATGGCCATGTGGCTTGTGGAATGCAGAATTACCCACATGGGCTTGTAATTGTATTTTTAATGATGGTGTATGTAGCAATTTGGCAATCAGTGAGTGAACCTTAGGAGCACTAATGCAGATTTCTGATTATTTTTAATGATGGTGTATGTAGCAATCATACGCTGTGTTCCTTCTTGACTTGCACTTCATTCAATTAGCAAAGCATTCATTTCTAAAAGGAAGCATTGCAAAAACAAGCTTTTTACAAGCTTACCCCAGAGCCCTATTTTTACTGTGTGCACTTAGTCAGCAGATGAATGTTTTGTCACCCAAGTTTCACTGCTGATTGTATGTCTGCTCCATGACTAAATCCGCAATTTCATTAGCCACTCATTTCCCAGCTTTTAACAAATAAAATGAGAAGTTTAAAGTATGTCTTTCTGTCAATAGACAGAGAGAGAAGCTAAATGCATTAGAATTACTTTATTATTTGTAAGTATTATTTTCTAAATGATCCTGGTGCTTTAAAAAGGTAGCACTAAAATGAATTATAAATAAAGGTAACTTGAAATTTTAACAGTATGTTTAAAATTGGTGCACAGAATACCAAAGAAGGATGTTCAGATGGACTTGAAAGACTTCAGCAATAGACAAGGATCGGAATTTTCTAGCATTGTATTGCTAATATTCAGACCTATTCACAAGATCACAAGAGATAGAAAACCTGATTGCAGTAGCATCTAGTTTTGAGCAATGGAACTACTAATCAATGCAATTCACGTGAGCCTCTAGGAAAAACTGAAATAAAATGTCGCCTTTCCTGATGTCCTTACAAACTTTTCCTGGGCTTTTTGATAGGGGGAAGGAGGAAGGAAGGAGAGTTGCTTTCTGTGTCTGTTCTTGGATAAGACACAGAAAATACTGAGTAAAAATGACTTTGTTACACACATTTAATCTTTTATCTTCTTTCTCTTCTGTATGTTTAGCCCCTTCTTGTTTTCACTCTAGAATGAAGTAATTGCTTATTATTTCAAGAGGTTAGGGGATTAGCTTTAAGCCACTAACAATTGGGACTCTGAAAGGCATAACATCTCATCCTCCCGAGACCAGAAATGGTACCTTTCATGTGATGTGAAGTAAAAATCTAATTTCACTGTGGGTTTATTTTTTCTTTTTGGTCTCTTTTACGTATGTGTTACCTTGTTTAACATCACAGTAATATTGCAGATCTGTTCACACAAGTTAGGCAGTGAATGTCAAATTAGTAATTGAGTTGCTACTGCATTAACTGTTTACTGTGGTAAAACTGTTGGGGAATGCTGCTTCTCAAATGAAACCATTCTTCAAGTGACTTGATAAATGAAGGTAACCAGACAAAAAATCCAGCAGTCTGTCCTTAAAGCTCAGGCATTTAAGCCAAAACATTACTGGCCACTTCGAATGATACCTGGTACCTCAAGCACAATATTGTATTTCCTCCCAATAGCTTATAGATTTCAAACATGACAATTTCTTCCCCGGAAAGAGATTTTTCAACCCTAACAATTTTGATTATGAACTGTGGCTTTTATCAGCATCCTTATGCCTTGAAAATAGGCTGCCATTTTTCTGAATATTCAGCTGACAGGGCCACTGGCTGCTCAGAAATTTCAGAAAGGTGGTGATTGTACACGCTCTGCATAACTGCCACAAGTATGTGGTGCCACGTGGTACATTTGAGGAGTGCCAGGGGTCTCAGATGCTTCTCTTGCACCTGTGATGCTGTGTCACCCTGCCTTCGCTATGCAAGTTGCAGTATGAATGGTGACCCAGGGCACGTGCGGTGTTGACTGCACAGAAAGCATCCCAGTCACTTCAGAACATCCTGGTCTTGACTAAAAAAATTGCTGCTTGAAAAAAGTTTCATGTTCTGTCCTTATATGCTAAGCCCAAAGTGTCAAAGTTGAACTCTGTGTGTCAGACATGAACAATTCTCATGGTTACACTGTTGTAGCTGGAGGTCAGCAAGGCCATGGTGTTTTTCTAGATGGCTGTATGTTGTTCTGTTCTGTAACTACATAGAGATTTTATCCAGCATACTGTGGATTGTCTCTTGGATGTTAGTAGAGAGAAAATAGTCAATAGTGTCCTGTTGTTTTAAAATGCTGTTAAAGTTTGTCCTGCCTTTTTTTTTTCCCTTTACAGAATTCGGAGAGAATGTGATTATTTTCATGCACATATTCTGAAAAATATAAAATATGCCTCAGCTTGCATACTAGAGCTGAAAGTACCCTGAAACATGATCAGAAATGAACTTAATATTAGTGCCTAACTCTCCTTATTTATACTTCAGTTTCTTATATGATCATTCCACTATTTATTTGTCAGAGAAACAGGGAGAGTTTGTGATCATTGCCATATCCAATATTACGTGCCTGTTAGTTTGTTCTCAGTTCTGCTGCAGGCTTCCCGAGTGACTCCAAACCAGTCATTGGAACTGTGATTCAGAATAGATGGTACTTTATGAGCTGCTATTTGGTATTTTATTTTCATTTTCTGTTCTGAAGGCATAATTATCAATTTCTTCATGAGCTTTTCTGAGATGATAATCTCTGTGGTATCAGAGTGTATTCATAAACCATGAATTCCTTCTCAAAATGGACATGGATGATCAGGAGATTTTGGTAAATGTGGAATGTGGTACAAGAAGACTAAACTTAGAAGTACCCACAAATGTTTTGTTTGTTCTATTCAGAAACCTACAGCGTGTTTTTTTTTTTTCAAGTGTCTCTGCTGTCGCAAAGCACTTATATGTTCAAAGCATTCTGCTGTTGAAAATGAAGTTGCATCTGAAGTTGCTGCATCCTACAAATTAGTCACATCACTCTGATTAGCAATCCCCTGGGAAACAGATTTAAGCCTTTGAATTAGTATTATCTGAGAGATTTATGACAGAGTGAGATACAGAATTTGGTTCCTTCAGTGCAGCATTTATCTGCATTATCCATAAAACTGGTCTTTCTCTTTTTCAATCTTCTGCCTCATTGACTGCCCTCTTTCCAGACTCCTCAATATGTAAAAGCACCCTTGTTCAACCTTGAATGAGGACTTGTAAAATGTAATATCCAAATAAAGATATGCAACAGCTCAAACATGTAATTAAATACAAAAGGGTGGCCCAGTCTGTAGAGTAATTTAAACTTCATGAATATCCAGTTGAAAACAAAATGTTCAGGACTTTCTACAGAAATCTCTGTAAGATTATAGATAGAACTGAATGTCTCTTGGCAATAACTTCAGAATGAAATCCTGGCTGTTGGGGAACCCAACAGTGTGGCTTTTAGAGCCTTGCTGGACAGCATCCCACCCTGCAGGCTGTCAGGAAGCCAAAAGCTTGGGAACTGGACATCTTTATGTTATTCAGCCTTGAGCCAGAAACTTCCTTATGTTCTTGGTCAGAGGAATCAAGCAACACATGAAATCATTTGGCCCATTTTTTAGGAAGAGCTGGTGTCCTTGTCTGCTCAGCCACCTACTGCAGATGCCTGCAGACCCCAATGACCCTGGCCCACAGAGACATGGCACAGCATCTCCAAACATCCCTTGCCTGTCCCTTGTCTCTGTCTCGAGGTCTGGATCTGGGAAGCCAGCAGTCCCCTAAGCTGGCTGCTTGAAAGCCTCATGGATAAACTGGCAGGAAAATAAGCAGGTTTCTATTTGGCAGACATTGCTTTGCTGGAACTGTGCCTAGGTTGTGACAGAGCTTATCTGAAATCCAGCCATCTTAGCTTGTTTTCTTTTTTGCATTTAGATAAATGAATTGGCCAGTTCTTACAACAGCCATGAAATCTGCCCACCCTGTAACACATACCTAACATAGGGACAAGCTATGACTATACTTGCATGTTTAATTTCTGGTATTTTATATCTGATCAGTGCTTGCCTTCACAACTTTAATAATGTTCTTTCAACATGTTTTCTCTTGACTTAAGTTCAATTTTAGTTTTTTTTCTAAAGCACACTGAACCCACTTTCCCCCTGCCTTCCTGCAAAATGGAAATGGCATTTACTGACATCCACATAAGCAATCATCAAGATTAGCCTTGTTAAGCACCTTTCCAAAAATAAAACTAATCTTAGCAGCACTAGGTTCTTATTCTGTATTTCACCCAGCTCTAGTGATTTGCCAGTGGGGTTCACGTGCATCTGCTGATAGCAGAGGACTAGTAAAAGCCAGACATCCTAGATTCTGAATGGGAATATTCCTCAGAAGTTTCCTGTGTTCTTGTCTCTAAAGTATGTCCTTTACTCTTGTCTTCTCCAGCTCATCCGTGCCTTAATCCTGGCTCTTCTGCTCAAGGTTCCAGAACTAATCAGTCCTCCAGGCCTTTCCCATCCCAATCCTTATTTCCTTGGTGTCTTATTCTCATGACTCAGAACCAGTCTTCCCGTTCCAAGCTTCCAACCTTCCTCCAAGCCTCCATTTACACTCTTCTGTCCCTCTTCACATTGCCCGTCTTCAATGCTTTCAGTTCCTGTCCCCTTCACATATTTCTTCATGCAGAGTCAGACCACATCCCACCCCACTGCTTATTTGTCTTAAGACTTCTACTTGCAGCCAGTTTCCTAATACCAGTTTACCTCCTCATCACCTCTGCATTCCTACTGCCAGCCTGCTCCAAATCTGTGACCTTCTTCCACTGCCCCCAAATGCAAGTCTATGGGCAGCAGTTCCTGTTCCACCAGTCTCTGCCAGCAACAGGCTGGTTCCCCCACTTTGTTCCCTTGGCCCCACTATCTCCTTTCTTCCTCTATGCATTCCTATCACTTCCTTCTCCATGCATTCTGGGGCAAGTATGAGGAGTGTTATGAACACCAAGGAGATGAATTCTGTCCACTTTTATTTCTGACGTCTCTCCAGGACTGCAGCTGCTCCCTTGTAGTTGTAATGGACTCCCCCACTGATGGGAGAACTAGGTGCAGGTTGAAACATGGAAACTTTTAGATGT